GAGGAGAATCTGGAAGAGGAGTAAAGAGTTTCTAAAAAATAACGCAAATGCATAACGGGCTATAAAAACGGATGAAGTAAGAGATGTAGTCAAAGAACACGTGCAGTCCACACGGCCAACAGCGATACTGTGTTAACGATAACGAATAACAGGTGGCAACATGTTTTGAATACAAATCAGCGACCTTTTATAGCTCTGTAGGCATTATTATCTCATTGTTAGAAACCAATAAAAAGATACAAGTACATTTATTATGCAACGTGTAATGGTAAACAAGCTGAGAGCCAACCTGATGGAAATGGTAACACTCGGTTGAAGACGTGAACAGTACCATGGATGCCATAGAATATACCGTTATATCTTCTCACCCAGTACTTTCTCTGCCCTGTCTCACTCTTCAATCCGAAACACAAGCATGCAAGCATAACTGTTTAGAGACAGAAACTCAGCTGTAACAGACAGTGCAGACGACTTTTGTGCAGTCTCCTTTTGGTGCCATCAGTGATGGAGATGCGAGACTTCAATGATGTAAACCTCATTGCTGTAGGAATTTCAGAAAGGTTTCTCTTAGTTGTAATAACTTGGGTTACTATGTTAAAATATAACGTGTTCTTAAGAATTCTTTAACAAGGAAACTTATATTAATTTTTTTTTATCCCAAACGATTTAGGCTATCCATTGAAAGGTCAGATTGTTATATAGGAAGAACCTTTAATTGTGATACTATATTTTAAGGGTTAAACCCTTTTTTACAGGATGTAATATAAATCATTAAAAAGTATATTTCTTTTCATTAATAAAAATGAAATAGCGACCCTTCCTGCACTATCGGTATACGCTAGCGGGGCATCAGTGAGAGATGATAGGTGAGGATGAAGGTAGGTCAGGTGGTCCATGATGACGAATTTAATAAGAATTAACCACGTTAGTTTCTGGAGGAACTACGTGGGGATCAACCTGAAAGGATATATTGTTAGCAAATATAGGGCTATTAGATCCTTTTACTACTTACAATTAGCCCATGGTGACGAATTCAACGATATATAACTTTATTTATTTATTATTATATGACAAAAACACAAAATTATAAACACAAGAAACAATTGGCCCCACACTAGGTGTTATAATAAAAAGTATATAGTGGCCGGGTATTAATGTAAAAAAAGGAATACAAAATTGAAATAGTGATCATTGCTGATCAAGCAATCCCAAAAAACTGCTTTTTTTATAGATGAAAATGGTATGATAACCCCGCCTGCGCTTACGGGATAAGCTGGCGGAGCACCAGTGAACGGTGATAGATGAGAATGAAAACAGGCCAGTTAGCCCATCATGATGAATTCATCAGGAATTAACCATGATAGTTTCCAGGGGGAACCGCGAGGAGATGGACCTGGCCCAAAAAACTTACGTTAATAAAATCAACAATATAGATACACAAGCAATTATAACGATAATATATTGACCACGATAGTTTCCAAGAGAAACCTCGTGGATATTGTATTGTACAGGCACTAAATCCGCAACAATTACATGTGAGAAAACGCTTGCTACACTACCAAGGTCACAAGTTTATATTGATTCTTTGCAGCACACTCATCTCTCTGTACCATAAATTCATAATACTTCATTACTCACGCTCTCCGAATGCTCTATTTTAAAAACAGCGTAAATCTGGCCGAGAAATGGATCTTATTGACAAGCGGATAGGTCGAGAGGCGATATAGAGGCGCGTGCGCCGCCCGCCTGACTGACATGTGCCAGATATTGTTGCATTATTGAAATCCAAAGTGTTTCGTGTTCAGTCTAAAACATAGACGAATTACTGGAAATTACTCGTCGTCGTCTCAACCTTGAACGATCGCAGCATTACATAAATAGTCGGTATTGGTAATATAAATTAAAGCGGAGTCAAATTACATTTGGCAGATATTTTTTTTTATACAACTTAGAATGGCAAACAAGCTGACGGCCCACCTGATGGAAAGTGGTAACCGTCGCCTATAGACATGAGCAGTAGCATGGACATAACAGAGTGTACTGTTTCGCCCATGATACCCCCCATGCGTTGCCATTCCTGAGGACTCAGATGTTATTCCTCTGTACCCAGTAAATTCACGCCATATCCCACCCTTCAAACCGAAACACAGCCATGTATATACAACTGCTTCACGGTTGAAACACGAATGGGATAGAGGTACCTAAGCAATCGACTTTTGTACAAAGTCTTGTACTTCAGCTTCGATATAATCCACCAATAAGTTCTGTTACGTCTTGTACTTTGTCAAGTCACTCTTTAAGAGGCCAGCATGCAACGGGTCCAGAAACATTGACATTTCTTTATAATATAATATAAAGATATTTATTACTTTTTTTTAATGAAGACAGATTTTTTACTACATAGGATAAATGAGCATACGACTCACCTGATCGTAACTGACTACCGCCACCTACGAGCACCCGCAACATCAGAGGAATTGCAGGTATGTTTAATTTAATAAGAATTAAAAAAAAAGGCAAGGCAACTAAGTACAAGTACTTTGAATAATACAATATATACCTATACAATCGAAATAGATTTATAATAAGCAATGGACGATGGATAGATCAAAACAATGTTATCTCCCATTACCGTAGGATTTTCAGAAAATGCGCTCTCGCTAAATATTTATACTACATAGCATCAGCCTGCCAAATTTGGTCCGATACGTTACAAATTATGTAAATGCTGATATCTAAAATTCAATATTCCAACGCAGGTGAATGCGCATTTCTATTGTTTTATTTTTTCAAATACAGATTATATTTGAAACGATACTTGAAATAATACTTTTGCCTTTATACGTTGTAATTGACATGTAGAATACAATAGAATGTAATTTATTTTATTTATTTTATTCTTTGTTGCACCAGAAATATAAAAATATACAATGACAATTGAACAATTCAAGTGAAATACAGTAACATAAATTTAGATTAAAATATATGTTATAGGTAAGTCACATAACTCGAAGAACCGACTACCAATGGGGAAGAAAGGTTCTTGAGTGGTGACCATGTACGGATAAACGCAGTGTAGAACCCCCACTAGATGGAGCGACGACCTAAAATACGTTGCAGGGAGTCAGTGGATACAATTGGCTCAGGACCGTTCTTTATGGCAGTCTATGGGGGAGGCCTATGTCAAGCAGTGGACGGATAATGGCGGAAATGATGATGACGATTAATGAAGTCAATAAATATAAATATACAATCAATTATAAAACATTACATTGGGAGGGAACAAAGCTATCTACTTACGTCGTGGTAAGGAACTTTTCAACCTACATACGAGTATAATTGCAAACGGCAGATTCATTTCAAACTGAATTATATTACCTCGCTTGAATGGTTAAGCCTACATAAAGTTTAGCATATAAACTGCTTATTGCTTGCATTAACATAAATGTAATATATCTCTATACTATTTATGGGGTATACTAAGATATAATACACATTAAATATAAAAGGGCAAAGGTAGCATTGGGCGTGCATTTTACAGGGTTCCGTGGTAATTTTTTACTTCCTACTTCTTCATATTTATTGCGTTCGGAATTGATGGAATTTATTCCCCCATGGTTTAGGCTTTGTTACATTTTTAAACAACGTCCAAAAAAAGGAGTCTCAATTCGGTTGTTTTTTTTTTTTGAAAGTTTGTTACTTCATAACTACGTTAGTTATAAACCGTTTTAAACATCTCTTCCTATAGGAATTCAGATATATCTGAAGGGATATAATTAGAGATTGATCCTATAGTGTGATTAGAGAGAAGTGTGGACTGAAAGACGATGTAGTGACAAAAATCGAAAAAGGAATATTCAATTGGTTTGGCCATTTGAAGAGGATGGTTGAAAGAAGAATTACGAATGAGATTTATCGAGCAAGAATGAATGGAGATGTCGGTAGGGGCCGCTCTAGACGGACGTATGTCGACCAAATAGGCGACGTGCTGAAGGAGGGCCAAATTAAAAGTACCCGCAACCGGCGAGCGTGTATGAAAAGATCGATGAATGTGGAGGAAGCGAAAGAGGTTTGTTTGAATCGAAAAGCATTTGGCGTTCCATGGTTTCTGTCTACCCTAATGAGAAACAGGCATGACAGATATGTATGTATGTATTGATCCCTTAGAAATTTTATTAAACTAACTTAACAATAGCTTAGTTTTAAAATTATATAATTGAAAATCTGTCTTTTTGTGGGACATAATATTGTTTATTATAATTTCAAAATTTCTTTTATAATACATATATTAAAAGGGATGTTCACCTGCATTGTAATTTTGAATTTTTAAGCAACTAATTAGTAAAAGATGGATACTGTCATCTTGATTTCATTAAAGTTAAAATTTTTCTGGATTTCCTGACCAGTAACTGAACATTATGTCAATTTTATATGCCTTTTATATTATATATCCGCGCACTATGTACTTTTTATTATAACAGATTGTGAATTGTTACCAGAGGGAGACTTTGTACAAAAGTTGATTGCTTGGGTACCTCTGTCCCATTCGTGTTTCTACCGTGAAGCAGTTGTGTTTGCATGGCTGTGTTTCGATTTGAAGGGCGTGAATTTACAGGGTACAGAGGAATAACACCTGAGTTCTCAGGAGTGGCAACGCATGGGGGGTATCATGGGTGAAACAGTATACTCTGTTATGTCCATGGTACTGCTCATGTCTATAGGCGACGGTTACCACTTTCCATCCGTGGGCCGTCAGCTTGTTTGCCATTCTAAGTTGTATAAAAAAAATCTTTGTTGGGTTTTCACGATACAGGTTCGCCTAGTGTGAGGCCCATTGTATCTTGTGACTGTAAATTTGTTTTTGTCAAAAATTTTTTTTCTTTTCAACCGACTTCGAAAGAGAAGATTTTCAATATTCATATAAAAAAAAATGTTTTTAATAAATTAGTTCTTTTATTCTTATAAAAACAAAACAAAATTATTTTTATCATTTATATTAACATTAGTAGAAGGATTTTACGCTTTTTGCCAATTTTATGTGTATATTTTGTTTTATCGGAAAAGTTAACTCCCACGTTGCATTACAAACAAAATACAGTCAAATTCGATTACAAAATATCAATAGTATTTACTAACTCGACTTCTTAGAAAGCGAACGGCGAACATTGAAATCTGCGGTTGGATTAAGTAACTAAATTGCTAACAATTCATATTTGAAACAATTGATTAAAATTGTTTATTTTGTGGTAAACAATGCACCATTACCGTACATTACAAAGACCGCGTGGTCTCGGCATAGAATAAGCCACCCCTTCCTTTCCCGGGGGTGTCGTAAAAGGGAAAGCGAAGAATGGACGGCAGCGTCTCTCTTAAAACATCTCCAAAGCCTAACTGCGGTTGCCAGTCGGCCTGCCAAGCGTGGGTACTACTAGCAAAATCCCCTGAGGGAGGCTTAAGTTCAGCAGTGGACAATTAAAAGCTGATATGATGACGATGATGAATGGACCTATTAAAGAATTTCAGTTAAAATACTGGTCTATCGCCCATAAAGTTAGGCAGAAACAATGGAACGCCAATTTTCCTGCTAAAGAAGCCATAAAAGAAAGTAAAAGAAAAAAATGAAAAGAACAGAATTTGTCGTATGCACAAATTAAAAAAGAAATAAAAAAACATAATAACAACAGGTCTTCGTCCCGTGCTTTGCGTGATATACATAAATAAATAGTGATTGCTTTAAAACAAATCCGTCTCTTAAAAGATCCGGGTAATAGAATATTTATTTTACTTTGAGCATACGGTTTACAAACACCAATAAGGTTACATTCACTCCAGTTCTCTTAATATTAGTCCGAGATACAGCCACTAACTTACGTAGATATAAGACTTTTTAATGAAACTTGATTTAAATGAAAGATGAGCTAAAATGTAATAAAATATACCCAAGTATAATGGGTGAAAATAAAATAGTGACTCCGCCTGCGTTATCAGAATACACTGGCAAAGCAAAAATGAGAGATAATAGGCAAGAATGAAGTAGGTCAGATGGTCCATCGTGACAAATTCAACAATAAAAAACCATGATGGTTTCATATGGTAACATATGGTATATTGTTAGAAGTAGAGATTTTAAACTCCATTACTAACAATCCCTTTCCCTCCAATGTGCCCCAGTTGTTTGTCCTCAGTTAGTTGCAACCTAGAATTGTTAGAAGCCAACCCTTATTTACAGGCAACCTTATTTTGTCATATAGACAAGAATAAACTTCCAATTAGTTTAATTGAATAGAAATCAGTAAGTTTAATCAAATACAACCGATTTTCTGTAACTACATCACAATCATCTAGGACTACATATTAGATGCTAGCAACCCTTACTCACGACCATTTTTTATATTTTGTAAATCTTTTTCGTATCGAAAACTATGATGACTTTAACATATTTACCACAATTATTTCCTATTTTCATCTGGCAACTCTGCGTCAGAATTATATTTTCGCTTATCTTTCATTTAAACTAAGTTTCATTAAAAAGTCTCATACCTACAGAAATTAACAACGGGATCTTATACTATACAGACAATTCTAATGTCATGGACGGCATTTTATATTTAGTGGGATAAAAGCGGGTGTCTATTTCTGTAGCGCGCGAAATAACTCGGTTCTAGTTAGGGTTTGTAAAGGGCAACACAGTATTGGGGAACTTTTAAACATACTATTTAATAGCGTAGCGTATGTTACTTGAACGACTCTTAAACTAGGCGGAGCAAATTTCTTTAGTTGGAAGAAGAGATCGTTAGTAATGGGGATAAGTGGCCCCTTATAAAATATAGCCTATATTGATAGCAGACTGAATCCAGTTGACCTTTATCCAGTTGACCTTTATCCAGTCCCCTCTGGAGATCATCATGATGATTACAATGGGCAATGTGACCTGTATTCATTCTTATCAGTCGTCACCCATTACTGTCTCGCCATCATACACCAATAGCACAAGCAGGGTTACTATTCCATTATCATTGTATTTGTCTCAGATTATTATATACGTATATGTATGAATTTGTATGTATGTATACATTATATGTATTTAAAAACGAACAGAGTTTCGTGCCTCCAGTCATAATGTTTATAATTACTCTTCTCCATCCAAAGGTTGCCTGGAAGAGATCGCTCTTAAGGATAAGGCCGCCCATTCTTTTCTTAGTGTAATATCTTCTTGTAATTATTTATATTTATAATAAATTTACTATTGTAATTTTATGGAGGAAACAGTTTATGTAGGAAGTATGCAAGCAGGTTGTATCTGAATTTGGTAGGGTAACATTTTCTATACACTAGCCTGCTGTGAATTGATAATTTTATCACTCCTTCTATGTAATTACTTGTTCTTAGGGCGACGCTTACTGCCTTCCATCAGGTGGGCGGTCATGTTGTTTGCCATATATAAATGTGTCATAAGAAAGCTATATAGTTATTTTACTGATTTAGGCATTGTCTTGCGGACATTTTGATACAGAATGCATCAAAATGTTTGGGTGTACAAAGATTGACACTTGACTCCGAATCTAATAATTTGCCTGAAGATGCCTCTTTAGAAGTAAAACACGTGTCGCAAAACGTGCGTGAACAAAATGGCAGTCAGAGATTGACGGCTAATATGTAAAGTAACAAAATAAAATCAAATAACCACTTGCACAATAGACTCAATACTAGGAGCACATAGATCCTTGAAGGTCGTTACTACAACTAAAAAGGTTTTATTCCAATTAAATACAGGCATTGCATCGAGTTTCATATACTAGGCTCACATAAGTAATTGAGAGTTACAAATCTCAATACCACAGCCTAAAATAAGTCGAGTCATAATTCGATGCTTTCGAAAAAAGGCAGTTTGATGTCTTACAAAATTGGCACACTGTTTATATTAAGGGATAGCTACATATTCATCTCCGGGGCCGACGTTGCCTTTCCACTTGCGAAAATTGAATTTTGCCCTTGTAATTTTTCATATTGGGCGCTCAGTAATGTCTTGTCAAACAATGCGTCTTAGGAAATGATATTTTTTCCACTTGCCAAGTATACGTTTTGGAGATTAGAAAACGTTGATGCCTATTATATTCAAATGTAACATAATATTATTCATAAATTCGTAAATTTCGGTTTCCGTTTATCTTTATCTTTATTATAATTATTTTGTATAAACCGTTAACAGTCCACTGTTGAACATAGGTCTTTTTCATAAGGGACAGTTTTTAATTAGTTACCACGTTTGTCAGGCAGATTAGCAATTACAGTTAGTTTTACCATAGGGAGACTTTGTACAAAAGTCGATTGCTTGGGTACCTCTGTCCCATTCGTGTTTCTACCGTGAAACAGTTGTGTTTGCATGACTGTGTTTCGGTTTGAAAGGTGGGATATGGCGTGAATTTACACGGTACAGAGGAATAACATCTGAGTCCTCAGGAATAGCAACGCATGGGGGGTATCATGGGCGAAACAGTACACTCTGTTATGTCCATGGTACTGCTCATGTCTATAGGCGACAGTTACCACTTTTCATCAGGTGGGCCGTCAGCTTGTTTGTCATTTTGAATTGTATAAAAAAAAAAGATTTTGGTGATGTTTTAAGAGGGACGCTGCTGCCCATCCCTCGACCATTAGTCCTTTAGTCACCTCCTACGACACCCACGGAAAAGAAAAGATAATTCGTTCGTATGGATCAATAATTTTCATTATGTTCCCACTGCTCTCCGTGTACTCCCACTTATGGATTATTTATTTATTGATTTAAACTTTATTGGTCAACAAAATGTGGTATAAAATTAGTTGCTACATGTTTGGACTTATCAATGTTTTACACAATAACATCATTTATTTGATATCGGTAAAATATCGTTAGAAAATCAATATTGAACGATATGAAATATCTCAAATACAGTAAGCGACGCCTGCGATGTTTCATTCGTCTTCATGTTGAGATGCTGCCAAAAAATATTAATCTACTTCCAAAAATACTTTTAATGAGAGATCGATCCGTGAAGGCTGAGTCGCTTGGTCCAAGACATACGCTTTGGAGTTTATGAACAAGTCGAGGTCTTTTTTTTCATGGATGATTATGGAACGGCAATATCGCTTCCGCTGTCGGTATACGCTGGACGGTACATATTTTGCCCTGCAATGCATTTCAGGTCGTCACTCCATCTAGTGGGAAGGTCATCCTGTACTGCGTCAGAAAAGTTAGCTTTTAAAACTAAATTTCTATATTTTAACACCTCTAAGTCCCGGCATAGAATAGGCCATCTCTTCCTTTCGTGTGGGTGTCGTAAGTGGTGACTAAGCGAGGGCGAGGGATGAGCAGCAGCGTCCCTTTAAAAACAACTCTAAAGCTTAACTGCGATTGCCAACCCGCCAGCCAAGCGTGGCAGCTACTGGCAAAACCCCCCAAAGAAAGGCTTATGTTCAGCAGTGGGCAGTTAGAGGCTGATATGGTGATGATGAGGAATACTTCTAAATCATAATTAGTTATATATTAATTATATATTTAGGGTATTTAAGAAAGTCACATCCCTATAAATATCGTAATACCGTCCAATCGCGTAATATTCTATCGATTCCCCTGACATAAGATGAACAGACAAATGGTCGGCCCCAGTCCAACGTCTACCGCGTAACACTCTGCAACGGGTTGCTGTTGTGTGCCTATTTACTGTGTGGAGAACTCGTGAACCCCCTGGACATTCCCTATTATCTTTCCCAAGTGTCGCGAGTGTTTGTTTACCTAACATATATAGTGTGGTTTTCACGAGTGGACCAGAATAGATCAGCGCCATTGTGACATTCACGTGGCGTGACTTCCTGAATCCTTGTGCATCCTGAGCGTGTACCGCTTACGCTAAATCTGCAGTCAAGGTGAGTCCGTACCATTTTGAGATACAAACTTCTTTTATGGGATCTTTTTCGCTTCCACTTGTGCTAACATATATTAAATCGGCCACTTTCCTTAACATAGGGTTAATCTATAATGTTAATCAAGCAAAATTCCCATATCACGATGTCTGTTCACGCTAATCTAAGCACGATTGATTTAAGCGGAATTTTCCAATTATGTATTGTTTACTCCAACTTAGTGATAGAATAGTTTTATCTTGATAAGAAGATAATTTAAAACTTTTTTTTACAAAAATAAAGTTTTGATAAACTTTCTATGGGACCAATCCTGAAATAAAAAAGAATTTTCCAAATTGCTTTATAACTGACAAAGTTTTGAGGTAATAAACTTAAAAAACAATATCACCGAATTTTGTCCGAATTTTTGGAATTTGGAACCGAAAATATGGTCCTTTTTTTTTAAGTCGGTTGCAAAAACGGACCCATTAGATGGCGGTGAGGAGCAAAACAACGATTTGTCAGCCAGTACGTTTTATAATTCAGTAAGAAGCCTTTATAATATGGGATTAGCTCGTAATCTCCGGGCCCTATCCTGTCCATCACGGCTCACGGGGGACTAGTGTGGGTCTGTTAGTATTTTTTTGCGGTCTCACAGATCTTTTTTGCGGTAAACCTTATTTCGCCGTACAAATTGCCAACACTCTGTAAACGTATTGCTTTATATATGTATGTATATATATTCCCCGGATAAATTGTAGAACTAACAACTTATTTAGTATACCTTTTTTTTATTTCTTGTAATTGTTTATATTTTTAATAAGTTTACTATTGTAATCTTTTGGAGGAAACAATAAAAAGTATCTATCTATCTTTTTTACACACGAATTACTTGAGTACCTAATCTTATAAAAGCCTGCAATTATTATAACCAGCAGTTCCTCTCTTTAGACGTATTCAGAGAAGATTTAATCTTATATAAAAAAAACACGTTAGGATCTTCGGACAAACTCCGTCTTCAGTCTTATATTGATAGAACGTCTCCATACAAAAGATTTACCAAAAACAGGTCAATTCTTTTATCCATGTGTGCGTGAAAAGGGTTGCCATAATGTTATTTATTACCATTATACATTTACTACTCAGTATATGGACAAAATTATATAATATTAATTAATTCACCAAAACCAGTTTTTTTTTTTTTAATTTAAAATTAAACTAATGAACTGAAATAAAATTTTTATTGGACCAATCTGTAAATATATCTTTTTAGAAAAAAATAATTCTCCTAAATGGTTTACAACTGACAGAATTGAGAGGTAACAGACATAAAAAAAAATCGAAATAATCTCCTTATTTTTCAAGTAGGTTAAAAATAACTTAATGTCTTCACGTAGTGAATTTTCAAAGCTTACCCTCATATCTTCAAATAACAATCATTCCATAACCGATGAATAAAGCCACAGTTCCTGGAAAGAAAAAAGAAAATACGTTATTTCCATTATTAATATTATAGTAGCAGAGGTGAGATGGTAACCCCGCGCTATCGGTATACGCTGGCGGGACACCAGTGTAGATGACGATGAAAGCAGGTCAGTTAGCTCATCGTGACGAATTCCACTAGAATTAACCATGACGGTTTCCAGGGGAAACCGCGTGGAGGTCAACCTAATAAGGTGTATTGCTAGCAATAGATCAGTCCATAGACCCTATTACTAACAATCCCTTTCCCCCTGCAACGTATGAGGTATATCATATTATAGTTATTCTGTAATGTTCCTAGTAGGGGGTAGGTGGATAATGTATAGTAATACCTATATAATGTTGAAGGATGGGATAAACTCATCTACAGCGGTGGCAGACAACGGGCAAGACTCATTATGGATGCCTTAACTGGACATATGCCAATAAGGCATATACTACACAAGACGGGTCTATCTTCGGACACACTGTGCAGACTGTGCGGGGAGAAATCGGAATCCATGGAACACTTGATGTGCAACTGCGATTCGTTGGCAAGTATGCGTATGAGTCTACTGGGAACGGCTTATCCAGAGCCAGGGGACTACAGATATCTTAAACCGCGGGATATCGTTAAGGTAACACAAAAGATCTATGAAATGATGGTATAAGGCAGGGGGAAGCACAAAAGATCCGTATGGGTCGACGTGCAACAGCTTAACTGACCCCATATGCGAATATAAGATAAGATAATATCTACAATTGACGTAGTAAAGAACATACAAAACATCGGTTTCCCAATATATAATATCGAAATATAGCATCAGATCAAAGTTAATACAAATGTCCGACTTGGACTTAAGGATCGTCACATACCTCTCTAAAATTTTGTCATTTTGGCTAACGTAAAGTTTTGCCAGACTATTTTGACAGAGAGAAAAGAGAAGAGGGATTTTGTGCCAGACAAACATACTCGTGCTAGACGTCACATACTTTTTGCTGTATCTAAGGCAAATCAAATTTGCTCTATCACGCACCTGCGCCATGTGTGCCCTGGTATAGAATTAGCCACCCCATCCTTTCCCGTAGGTGTCCTAAGAGACGACTAAAGGAGGGCGAGGGATGGGCAGCAGCGTTCCTTTTAAAACATCCTCAAAGACCTAACTGCGGTTGACAACCGGCCTGCCAAGCGTGGCAGCTACTGGTAAAACTCCCTTTATGGGAAGACTTATGTCCAGCAGTGGACAGTAGCAATGCGATGGTTACATTCATCAGATCAAATCAGTCGTCAGCTTACTACACTATAGTCGTTTAGAGAACTATTATTTTTACACCCAATAAAATCGATCCAGATAAAAAAAAATAAGGGCAACTGGCAACATTCTCTTAAAATAATTCAGCTGGCATGTGTAAAAACTCAATTACGCTGCGCCGGCGCCGCGCCTTTGATATCGTCTGATTAGACGCAGGCGTTGTCAGTGAAAATAGCACAGTTTGTAGTTACAGACAGATGTTTACTTTACCAGGAATTTTGGATGGAAACACTGTTTTATTAGATATAAAATATTGGCAATGAACGTGATGGAAAGATAGAGTAGAGTAGATGGGAATAGGTCCTTGAACTCGAACGTTCGCCATTCAATCTTTTTTTTATATAAATTCATTTATTTATAAGAAACATGGTAAGTATATAAATGTTAACAATAAATATAAGTCCACATATTTCGCCTACAAGACATGCAAAACTGTAGAAACACGAATGGGACAGAGGTGTCCAAGCAAACGGCTTTTGTACAAAATCTTCCTGTGATAAATCTGTAAAACTGAAAATCGGCATCAATATGACGACTAATTGCTATCTGGAACCCCATCTGATAGTCAACAGGTAATGCGGTCCAAATATGAAAATTGCTATCAGAAGATTTATTTATTATTTACACACTAGCCGTATGAACCTGGCATGAAATGTGCCACCCCTTTCTTTCCCGTGGGTAAGAGGTAACTAATGGAACTTATTGATAGAAGGATGAACAGCAGCGTATCTCTTAAAACGTCATCAAAGCCTAACTATAGTTGCTAACTTGCCTGCCAAGCGTGGCAACTATTAGCGACCCTCCATATATATGCCCAGCAGTGGACAGTTAATGGCTGATGTAATAATTAAAAAATAATAATTTAGAGACATCCTGTGACAATTTCAACAAAACTTGTTTACATTGTGTATTGTATTTAAACCAAATTTATTTATAAACAGACATATTTCCTGTTATTTATACATAAAAAGTATTTTTTTATAACTGTAAACGTACAGCCAGTTTCTCGAAATGGAAGATGAATACAAAATATAATAGATTTTTCGAATAGCTAAGAAACAAAGGGATAAATATTCAAAAGCTCGCTATCGTGGCATAATGAACCTCCCTTTACAGCAGTGTTTCTCAAAGTGGAAAATAATATGAATTGGGCAGTCGGGGGATCCAAGCGTTTGTACGCTTGAGGCAATAAGGAATAATTGTAGTCCGAATGTATAATTCATCCATGTATAATTCCAGACGGTGAAATGTATAATTTATTTAATAATTTACTGAATTTTAATAATAGGGGACAAAATTTGAAACGATTGTAAATTATTAAGTAGTATTAAACTAGGGACTGTTAGTACCATAATATATAGATGTATATTGTAACTAAAATATATAATATCTATATATCTTAGTTACAATATGTTTATACTGGTCCAATAACGAATATTTTAAAAGTCTCTTATTCGAAAAATAACACTGGACTGACTGAACAGACTTTTAATATATTTGAAAATAGATATCTAACCGATATGGGCAATATCGATATAGGTGTTGACCTTTTTACCGATATATAGATATTGGAACGATACTGATATTACTCATGCCTAATACAAACCTCTCTTTGCCTTTACAAATATTTTTTTCTAGTTAATGTTCTACGTAATATTCGTTTCAATCAATTGTCAACCAATTTTAAACGGAATTTTGTAAATTTATATTTTACGTTTCAACTTCAGAGATAATTTTTATACCGATAAGTGAAAATGGAGTCGATAGATGGCGGTACGATACACATGACAACGGTTATCGGATCAGCTAGTTTATAATATAAAATGAATATCTATGAAATTGCTTTTATAAGCATGCGCATTAATATTATAATATATTTATATATACTCGTTAAAACTGCCACATTGTTATACGTCTTTAGTAATTCTATTAATATAATAAAAGCAATAGTTTGTAACGATTGATGGATGTTTATTGCTGGACAGATTTCAATAAAATTTGATATACGGATAACTTACATCTTAACTTAGCACATAAGATATTTTATATACTCATTCACGCGGTTGAAGCCATGTGATACAGCTAGTAATAAATATAAATCCAAAGGAAAGTTTTCTATTTGACAATACCAGTATTAATATATTTTTATCTAAAAATTTATAAAAGTTTGAGAACCACTGTCCCAAAAGCTTCCAACACGACTACCCCACGACGATCCCTAGGGACCCCGCACGAGCCTGCTTCCGTACGATAGGCAACCAATTTATTCGTACGCCTCAAAAGGTTTGAAGTTAAAAGAAATAGGAATAAAGTCATATATATGCTATAAATGCATCTATAATTAATAATAGTACTCCACACACCATAGCTATTCCCCGTTCCTTTCTTAAGATGACCTCCCCCCTCTTTTTGTCTCATATGTGACCATTTGAAAAAAGAATTTTCTATTTTAGGTAACAAACAAAGATACGACCCGTCTGATAATAATCAATTACCGTAGCTTATAGCCACCTGCGACGCCAGAATTTTTTTAATCGATGATAAGGAAATTGGAAAAAAAAAACTACGAGTATAAAGGGTATCATGAGCAATACAGTATACTCTGTTATGTCCATGGTACTGCTCATGTCTAGAGGCGACGGTTACCACTTTCCATCAGTTGGGCCGTCAGTTTGCCGTTCTAAGTTGTTTAAAACGAAACACGGTAATCTCGTCAACTCGGAACTAATTTTCACAACTATTTTAGAAAGAAAGAAAGATTTTATTCATATATTTAGAAACCTAGATAAAGGACTAACTCCTGTAACTCCTGTATTAGTCCTATTTCAATACTGTAACGTTAAATCTACCATTTTTATTAGCAGGGAAACTACTTGTTATACGACAGGAAATGCAACTAAATATGGCAAACAAGCTGACGGTCCAACCGAAATAATAGTAATTTTGACCAGCTTAGCATTGCAACTGTCTTCCCTCGAGGCACCGGACCCCAAAACTTCTTGCAGTTACCGCCAATCATTTCTTGAGTACGAAACAATAGTTTATTTTGGGAGACATAACTGTCAGTAACCATTCGGCGCCCGAATTCTGTCCAAACCGTGAACAATGGTCTTCAAATGTTTGTCTCAATAATGATGTTTCCTTTATCACCTTTTATAGACGACTGGCTTCAGCTTGCGACTTCGAATGCGTGGATTTTGGCCTACTAATGCCAATGTCCGAAATAAAATTTTGGGCTTCATCAATCCAGGATTTAATTTACTAGTGTACTAATTTTTGTTCGTATTCTTTCAGTCTTTACTGAATAATCCAGACATAGAATGGGCCACCCCTTCCTTCCCCGTGGGTATCGTAAGAGGCGACTAAACAAAAAGTCTAAAAAAAGTCCCTCTTAAAATATCACCAAAGCCTAACTGCGGTTGCCGACCTCAAGATGTGGTAATCAATCAAACAAATACCATATACTTAAACTATTTAGATGGAACAAAAATTAAAAACAGTAAGTCTTTTCACTTGCTCAAATAAATAACCGGCGATAGACTGTCAAATACGTAATAACGCTTCTACATAAACCCCAATAAATTCTCAATTATAAACTATCGATATGGCTTCTCTCTCACAGTTTAAAACATGAAAGACTCCTTAAAACAATTTCAATACAGTATATTTTCACTATGTCGCAACTATTTTGGGAG